TTCAGCCCGTCTGAAGTGAGTGGAACCGTCAACTTGCTCCCTCCTCATTGCTCACAGCATTCAATCATTTCTATAACAAAGAAACTGGTGAACCACATTGAACACACCGCAGCCCCGAGCGAGATTCATTTGTGTCTCACTAACAATCTAAACGTGCAGGCGAGATTCTATTTAAGCTGTCAAGTCTTCAAGTTAGCTTTTTGGGGGGGGAAATTATGAAACAAAACAAAACAAAACCCCACCCAGAAGCTTCAGAGAAATTGCTAGAGGAATAGTTGAGGTTCCTTAAACTTCACTTAAAATGCTATGTTGCATCTCCTAACCTGTCCCACACCAACACACCTGAATATATTCATCTAGCCAACTGCAATTACCTCAGAATTACTTTTCTATCAATTACTACAGTACCTTCTGACCTTTCTTTGTGAAATGTATAGTCATCTATCTGATCACCAATCATATATAAAAACGTCAAGAACATCTGAACATAATTTAAATGCTGCTCAAAAGACCTTAATACAATTTTTTGTTTATAGTTGTAATAAATACATTTCGATTATATCAAGGGCTGAAGCTTTGGAAGTTTTTGTAATAAAAATCCCATTAAAATAAAACGATCACCTATCTCCATCATAGGGCAACAAATAGAATTCTAATTATTTTACTTAATTATAAAGATTAAAAAAAAATTAATTTTAAGAAATGAGAAAAAGAATTTACATAAAATTTAAAACTTAAATGTTAGCCTTTACTTCTTAACATTTCCCCTATTTTGCATTGTCAAAAACAACAAAAGGAGAGAGCAAATAAATTCATATGTTTAGTAAAATGAACATGAAAATACTGCTAGAAGCCACTAATGCATTCTTATTTGAGGTAAACATTCTTTACATTCTTGAAATCTCAGTAATAATTGCTGTTGATTGTAGTGACATCTATTGGCAAGGTAGAGATCAGCTACAGAGCCCACAGTGAAAAAAAAGAAATAAAAATTGTAAACCCAAAATTCTACTAGTTGCTCAATAAATCTTCAGCAGGCATGAGGCTATTTCATGTTAAAAACTGGCAAGGGGCACACAGAAGGCACTGAAAGGGAGACCCACAATATGGCCTGACACCAAATGAGACATAGATTCCAGTCCTGACCTGAACAATAACTAATTTGTGACTTTGAGCAAACTAATGGCTCCGGTCTTAGAATTCTTGACTGTAAAATTAGACCAGATAAAATTTAAGGTTCTCAAATCCCATCACCATGAAGGAAGGCATTGATTAAAATACTTCTACTTCCTTCTTTAACATAATTTGCTGTATGATTGCCCTCCTCTTTTAACATAGACCTTTTCATAATGTTTTAATTACCCCTTACAAATGTGGTTCATTAATTTAAAATAATAGTTAACTCTGAAATAATTTTAATAGTTTTATTTGGTATAATTTACACAACACAAAATTACCCATTGAAAGCACACAATTCAATAGAATTTTGTAAATTTATAGAGGTATGCAACCATAACCACAATCTAGTTTTAAAATATTTTTACCACCCTAACAATTTCCATCCACCCCAACTCCAGGCAACCACTGACCTGTTTTCTATCTCTGTATCTGGTTTTTTTATGGACATTCTATATAAATGGAATCATACAATATGTAGTCTTTTGCTTTAAGCTTCCTTTACTTAATATAACGAGCAGGTATCAGTATATTGTTCCTTTTCACTGCTGAACAGTATTCCACTGTACGGATAAACAACATTTTTTTTATCCATTCACCAGGTGGTGGACATTGGGCATTTCCAGTTTTGGGCTATTGCGAATAGTGCTGCTGTGAACATTTATGTCGCAGTCTGTGTGGACATGTTTTCACAGAATTGCTGGGTTGTACGATAAACTTACGTTTAACTTTCTAAGAAACTACCAAACTATTTTCCAAAGTGGCTGTATCATTTCACATTCCCACCAGCAGTGTATGAGAGTTCTAGTTGTGTGCCTGTCTTTTTCATTAAAATCATTCTAGTGGATGCCTAGTGGTTTTAATTTGCATTTCCCTAATAATTAATGATGTCGATCATTTTCATGTGCTTACTAGTCACTTATGTAACTTTTTCGGTGAAATATCATTTTAAGTTTTGTCCATTTTTATAAAAATGGGCTGCTTGTTTTCTTATTATTGAGCTGTAAGACAGAATACTTTGTTTTCTTCCAATTAACATTTTGTTATACAAAACTCAAGTGGATTAAACATATTGAACATAGAATTATTTTCTCAAATGTTTCTGCACTTTACTAGAAATTCTGCAAAGTTCAGCTTTGGCCTTAGACTTTGACTAAAATCTGCTATTTGTCTTTGGCCTCTGGAAAGACACAGATGGGAAAGACATGTGAACATCATTCAGGCACCTCTGAACCAGGGCAGGATCAATGATCCTGGAACAGCATGATCACCAATGAAAACAAAACTGTGTATTAATGGCAATAACCCAAACCAGGTTGACATTTCAATTTACTGTTACTACCTAGGTTAGAATTTCTCGTGTAACTTGGAGTGAAAATTTCTTCATGTGCCTGATTTGTTGAAATTCTACCTGTTAACTGAAGCATAAATATTTATTATTGCAAGAGTAAAATACTACAAATGATTAAAAATGAGGACAAAAGCTGCTGATTTTTTGTATTAAAAATAAAAAAACTTTAGAAGGGTAAAGAGAAAAATATATTGGCAGTTAATGAGAATTTTAAGAGAATTAACTCTACATTATATCTTCTGCCAATCAACAGATGTTCATATTTAAATACTGGAAGGCAGAATAACAGAAGTTAAGTCATGTCATAAAATATGTAGGACTGTTTGGCAAACTAGCACTCAACAAAGTAACATTTATTTTAGTTTTAAAATTCTATTTAGGCCATGAATTTTCCCCAAAAAAATTCTCCTACACTGGGAAAAATGAAAAGAAAAAAAAAGACAATTGTCAACCCTACAGCACTGAAATTCCATGGGAAAAAAAATTACAAAATCATATACAAATACTTCTTTGGTCCAGGGAAAATAAAGAATAGAAAGAGAAAAAGTATTATATAAAAATGAAGTATTCCAAAATTTCTTTCTCTTCTAGTGATCACAATTCAAAGTGAAAGGGTAATAGTATCATCGTATGCAATGACGATCAGGGAGCAGTCCAGCAGTAGTGTTAATAATGTATTGTTCCTACACGGTAATATTATACTTCAAAAAACTGCTGCCTGGCTGGTGTGGCTCAGTTGGTTGGGTGTCGTCCTGTGCACAGAAAGGTTCCTGGTTTGATTCCTGGTCAGGGCACAGGCCCTAGTTGCGGGCTCCATCCCCAGTTGGGGGTGTGCAGGAGGCAGCTGATTGATGTTCCTCTCTCACAATGATGTTTCTCTCTCTCTTTCCCTCTTTCTTCCTCTCTCTCTAAAAAGTAATAAAAAGATCTTGAAAAAAACTGATTGCTAAATTTTTAAAAATTAAATTATAATAATTTTTGGATAAAATTTTAATATATACTTTGCCGGAATTTCATTTTGTAATGGTAATACTTGGCGGGCTGAAGACATTTTTCTTACTATGAATAATGATAAAGAGTAGTAGCTAACATTTCAAGAGTCCTTCCTATATGTCGCTTCCTATATAACCAGGTTATATCTCTTCTAGTCTCTCACAACCACCTGGTGAAATGAGCACTATTATTATCCCTGTAAGTGAAAATCAGTGTCCTTCCTAGATCCCACTAATGTTGTGAATGTGTCTGTGCATATGTGCAAATACAGATGTACACATGATCTTGGAACTTCGGGTGAGTACTGTGCTCTGCCTATTTTATGGCATCAAAGTACTACTGACTAGATAACCTCCAATCACTTTGCACCTACTTCTGCTATAGCAATGGGTCTTAAGTAATGGGAAATGAAGACGATAGTACAGGTTCTGGAGTCAGAGTGCCTGGGTTTAAACTCCATTTGCACTATTTACTAGCTGTGTTAAGTTTGGACATATTCCTTCATTTCTCTCAGCTTTGGTTTCTTTATTTGTATAGTTAGTGACATCACAAAGTGAGTATGTTGACTGACCTAATAATATATGTGAAGGCTTGGCACATAGAAACCAGAGTGTTTACTAGTTATCACAATCCCTATACTAATTGCTTTCCCCCCTCTAATTCTCACAGCAATCCTATGAGGCAAGTTATAAGACACCCCTTCCTCCCCTTATGGATAAGACAGTATGATCCAGGAAAAGGTTAAGTAACCTGTCCATGAATTCACAACTAAGTAGTAGAACTAGTATTAGAACGAAGCCTTAGTCACATGCCCAAACCAGGTTTCCTAACAACTCTGCAAATACAAGCACTCGAGCATCGCAGAGATTATAAATAATCAACAGGTTGTCTCCACTCCACAGCAACTGTCCTAATATCTATATCTGAACAAGGGACTGTGTTACATGTGTGCACACACATCTCTCACAATAGTAATCAGATCTAACTCCAATAAATATATGTATGAATGTATATTTGATGCAGCTAATGCAAAAGAAAATTTAAATGGAATTCTAAAGGAGAATATACGACTTGGGAGGCCCTCTGTAATTTTGCATGAGAGACATCACCATCCATTTGAGTAGGGTAAGTAATCAAGAACTGACATCCAATTCCGGTTACTGCGGGTCAAATGCAATTTCAAGGACTTCTTAGCATTTTTGTCTTCACAACCAAATCATAAGACCAGGATGGAATGTAGGCAAAATAGTGTACAACCCAGTTGCCTTTGATAGCCACTCTAATATTATATTAGTGTCAAAGAAAAAAGCTTAGGAAAACAGTCACAAAAGTTAAAAAGGATGTCAGTTTCTCTTTCAGGATGATATATTCATATGCATTTTCTAAGAACCCACAGCTCTGCCCTTGATAATTTACAACCATCTTTAAAGCACAGTTTAATAAATTCTGCACCCACTTGGAATAATGGAAAGAAACTCACTGTTGGTAAAGGCATGTCCTTCTTCACTTTCATCACTGTCATCAGACGGAGCTCTATAAGGAGGCGGCAGTTTCATCGGAGGCGGGGCTGTTCCTTGCCTCTGAAGATGCAAAATTTGAAAGAAGGGTCAAGTGCCTTTGCACAATCCTTTTCTCCAATAACAAACAGGATAAAAAGATTATCTGTATCCAACTTCGGTTAGATCATGAGGATTAGAAGACAGATGTAATTCATTTTCTTATGTGTATGTTCTTACATAAAAGTGACTCTGTGGTGTAAACATACCAATAAAGAAAACAGGAATTCAAAAGCACAGTTCCTAACACTGCAGACCTACCCAGAAGAATGCACTCCTTTTCCCAGTACGAAAGCCAATTATATGTCTTTTCTTTACACTGTTAAAGCTTAGTTTTCTGTTATTAAACCAAATAGTTCAAGTGAAAGACACTCCAAAGTTAAATCTAAATAGCAAAACTACTCACTGTATTAATTCTACAATTACTTAAACTTTTCATCCAATTGTAGAAGATACAGATTTCACCCCTAAAAGCATCCTTGAAATGAAATACCAAGATTTTCTAACTGAAAGGGGGTTCATTTATAATTTGTAGATCGTCAATACACATTTCAAAGTTTTAACAAAGAAAGAAATCTTTATGATGAATAGGTTTTGTATGTCTATTTTAAATTTACATACTGAATGATTCAAAACATCAATATTTGGCTCAAACTCTTAATTAAAGCAGAACAAAACTCTATGATCAGGTTACCTTCGCAGAATGCAGGCATTTTCTTGAGCGCTGGGAAAAATAAAACATACCAAATACAGGGAGATCCAGCTGCTAAAGAATAGGAGCAGACTGACCCGCACACTCCACAGATCCAAAACAATTGCATTAAGATTTGTTTTGCTACAGCATTTCAACAAAGTACATTCAATTACGATTTATATGACCAAACCACTAATGGCAGGATATACTTCAACAAATGGACAATGACTGGGCAATTACAGAAAGCAGGCATGTAATAAGTTCCTCAAAAACAGAGAATACTCTTTGGTATCCATAAAGGAAAACACATACCCAAATTTATTTAACCAAAACAATACTTCATATATATATATATATATGTAGAAAATTAAAAAAATTGATAAAATTCAAGAATGATGAAGATACCAAATACGAAATGCTTATTAAGCAACCAAAGAGTACATAAATTGACCACAATGTCTCTTTAATTCTTGCTTGGAAAAAATTAAGAGTTAAGTGAACAGTAAAGAAGGCAAATTAATTTTTTTCAGTAAACCTTTTCTGCAGAACCAGATTATCTAGGTCAAAGACGATACTCAGAACAAACACAGCCAGTTTTTAAAGTAATATTAAAGATATATATTCTTTACTAGCACTTTTTATAAAATGTACACAACTGATTTATTTAATTAACTCTACCAACACTCTCGAGAAGACTATTGGATAAGCATTTCTTGGCCTCTCTCTAGTTTGAATGTGGGTTGCCAGATACCTGGGGAATCTTTACACTGCACATGAGAGAAGGGTGTGGGCAGGGGCAGGCTCTTCCTATAGCAATGAAGGCTGGAGGCAGGGATACACAAGGAGGCCGGGTGAATATAATCTCCACGAGGGCAACACAGACAGTGTGGCATCCTCAGCTCCAAGAATATTTCCTGGTACAGTGTAGGCCTTGCTTAAATCTGAGTAAATAACTAACTGTTTGTCACTCCTGCTATTTAGGTTCCTGGACAATATTAACCTATAGAAAAATGATGATGATGAAAACAGGTCTTTTCCAATAGCATTGCATATTAATTTTGTCTGGTAGAGATGTAGATTATTTTAGTCCTGTAGAAAGAATAACTCCAAAGGTTACAGTTTTATTGCCCTGTAAGGCACTAACCAATTTTGTACCTAAATTTGAATCTTACTTAAGCATTCTCTTTCAGCAACTATAACTACTTCACTCTCTCCAACTCTCTCTGAACCAGGCTAACCATCTTGTTAGTTCCCTCTTTAATGAATTAAATAAATACCTGGCACCTGTACATTTTGCATAATTTTATAGGTCAAGTTTTTATTTATTTTTCTTAAATTATACTTTATCAGTTTTGGAGGTCCCACTGAGATGTTCAAATAGACTCACCTTCCAGAACCAGTTAAACAGTGGTGCCTGAGGTATGCAATTTGTGAGCTATTTGAATCCTGTATACATGATTTCTTGGCTCCCACAGTAAATCCCCAGTGGCAACAGAACTTTTCGGGTTTTCTACTCAGTTTCTCCATTTTTCAATGTCCAATTCTATGTTTTTGTTACTGAAAGCGCTCTGTGTGTATGACACTGAGAACAGCTCTTTCCTCTCTGTGAGTGTGTAATATTAATATGTGCTCTGCGTGTGTGTATAAAAGAACACTGCAAATTCTTAGACATTAACCTGAGTATTATCGGCCGATTCTAAGGCTCAGCACACTGTGGAGTATCATTAATGGAATGTTGGATTATTTGTTGCTGTTAAAAATGATCAGAGAACATATATCCTGTAACACTCTAAGCGCCCTCAGGAAGTTCACAAGAGATCATTTTGATCTTTGTAAAATGCCTTGAGGAGGTTCCCCTTAGTCCCAGAGTCTAGCATGTCCAGACTTTTCACTTGGAATAGATGTGTCTTAACCTTACTTAGGTATAATTTACATATAATAAAATGTACTCATTTTAAGAACTCACCTGCAATAAATACATTTTTATAATGTATTTCACCAACATAACAGTCCCTAAAAATATAGTCATATTAAACTTACAGTTGATTGCAAATATCCTTGCTATGCATTGAAAATCAATTTGGTTTAATGGAACAGGCCAAAGTTGATGGGAATCATACATTTACCTTTTTCCATCCTGGAATCTTATGTGGAATTTTCCTGAATCAAATACTTTACTTTGTTTCCCCAAAGTAACTGAATTAGTAACCAGTTTATTCATCTATGTGTGTTTATTATCTGTGTCCCCACAGACAGATCTCTCATCTGTTTCCTTTTGGAAGTTATATCCCAAATGTTGTACAGTAACGGGCATACCGTAAGTTTCCAATAAACAACTGAGTGCTCAGGCCTTAGAATCAACATATAAATTCACAAACTTCCAGCAATAAAATAGACTAACTAATCTGAGAAACCCTTCTTAACCACATAAAAATGACAAATAAGGTGTCAAAAATGTGTTTTTGTAACATGTGACCAAGAACAGAAATATTCATAAACGCTAAAGGGCATGTGACAATCCCTGGAGGCCTGAAGCCAGTAATTTTGTTTTTTGTTTTGAGGAGTCCTTTTGAAAAAAATTGTTTTCATAGATCAATGATGCTTTATTTTGTTTTCTTTTTTTTTTTTTAATTTATTGGGGTGACACTGGTTAACAAAATTATACAGACTTCAGATACACAATTTTACAACACAGCATCTGTACACTGCACTGTGTGTTCACCACCCTAAGTCTCTGTCCGTCACCATTTATCTCCCCTATAACCTCCCCTACCTCCCTCCACACACACCCCCAACCAGCAATCACCACACTGTCGTCCCAGTCCGTGAGTTTTATTCTATTTAGAGGAGTCTTTATTCAATGAACGAGAATGTACTGTGTGCTTATTAAGCGTCAGGCAATGTTCTGGGCAACGAGGATTATTATGAGATAGGAGAGATACCAGCCCTCATGGAATATAAGCTCATTTTTTAAAAACTTGAGAGGTTCGAGTTACCTTTTCTTTTCTTCCTTGGGTGTCTTGGTCCTGGCTATTAGCGACTTTGTTGGCCTTGCTGTGCGCACTAGGAATGGCCTACCGCCAAGAAAAAAAGAGGGGGGAGGACAGAAGCATTTAAATGGCATGATCATTACATTCCTTTATGTATTTTTTAAAAACAGTTAAAATCTTAATTAACTTTTTGACTTCATCTATAACATAAAGACATGAGAAGTACGGTTCAAGGTGAACAATACACCTTGGGAAATCTGACAAGCAATATAACCTTAAATTGTGGGGCGTGTAAGTGCATGTATGTATGTGTGTGAGTGAGAGAGAGAGAGAGAGAGAGAGAGAGAGAGAGAAAGAGAGAGAGAGAGAGAGAGAGAGAGATAGATGATAGATAGATAGATGATGATAGATAGATAGATAGATAGATAGATAGATAGATAGATAGATAGATAGATAGATAGATAGATAGATAATCGGGGGTAATAAGCTCACAGGCGTGTGTGCGTAGATCCAGAAAGTGAAAATAAAGAACACTAAAAAGAAAGTCATGATACTGTTTTCCAAACATCTCATTTTGCAAAATACAGTGTAAGGGGCAACCTAAGTTAATTCCTGGAACATAGGGTGCATCACTTATTTGGTAGATTTACCTTATTTATCACTGTACCCCAGTTCACATATGTTATCTAGCACACTTGCACACAATAAATATCTCACCGTCACTGTTAGCATAAAGATGAATTTCAAATCTATTTCCATCACTAAATGAAAGCCCAATGGGAGCTGGACTTTAGTGTTATTTATCACCATTAACTTCGGTGCTCAGAAAGAGCCTAATACATAGTTACACTCAATAAATGTTTATACATGAATGAAAGAGTGTAATTTCACAGAAGTTATTTTAATCCTTTATGGTACCAACAGCATAGGTTAATTTTTTTAAAGCTATGAATGAGCCATCTTAGGAAAATATAAAATTTTTAGTGTTTTGTTTTTGTAAAAGGCTCTTTAAATAGCTAATGCAAATCATCTTCACATAAAAATCTGATGACAGACATAAAGATTAAAAGAAAAAACAAATCTTTTTCACAAATTTAAAGAAACTGTCTAGGGATAATTTTTAAAAACAGTTTCTCTCTAAATGCAAGTTAAGATAATTTTATTCACTTTTAATACAGAGTCTACAGAAATAAATTAATTTTGGAATAAATAAAGTCTCAGAAATGTTTCATTTAAGTAAAAAACAATAGTGATGATACATCACAAAATATTCAGTGCTCCCTACGTGAACAGACACTGTGCTAGTGCTAAATATTTACTTCTCTATTTAATACACAAACCACCTAAATCAGAGTTCAAAAACTGCTGGGTCTACAAGCATGTTTTTTGTCCTAAAGAATCTTAGAACAAACAGAACACTTCGCCTCCCTGATGAGTCAGAATACCTGCCCACACTGGACCTACGTTTTCCTATGGAAAAACCAGCTTAAGCTGAACAGCAGAGCTTTGGGATGAGACAGAATGTCAGTTGCTATTCATAAGGTTTACACTGTTTATTTTTTGAATAGCAGAAAAGTATATTTCTGTACACATATCATCAGCAAAATTTGGAAGACAAAAGACTTATCGAGAAGACTACATCTTTAAGAAAGGTAAAAGAGAGCCCATTTCTTGTGAAAGTAAAAAATAAATTTGTATATGGTTAATATGCAAAATATATGTGTCAAAAAAATTTAGGCACCATTATAAAACAATGGTATTAGGAAGTACAAATGGAATATAGGAGGAAAAAGGAAAACAACACATGAAAATAAATTTAATGAACTGAAAGGATGACCCCAGTTTCAAAACATTAAAAAAATACATGATGGCCCTGTTAAGTGTAGTTATGTTACTAAGTGGGGAAAAAATTACCGTGGCATAAAAACTATCTATAGAGGAGTGCAGTATAAACTATGAGTTCTCTCAAATACGCATTATATTTACTTATAAATCTAAATGGATACACACATTTCTTTCTAGTATGCTGAAAACACACTCTAGTAATTCAGGAGAAAAAGCTTAAAAAGGTAATATATTGTTGATACATATAAAGTATCTGTTAAAAGCACAAGTGTAAAAAAAATAAATAAAAATACAACTCAAAGAAAATGAAAGTACAAGGTTAAAACACCACTGCTCAACTCATGGTGTTGATAATTTCCATGTGGCCGTGGTACAGTTAGACACAGGGCCTTTGATCGGCCCGACAGAAAATGGCTTCTTTTGGGGGCTTTGAGAGAAAGGCTCATAGTAATGTAAAATGGTCAAAAATGAATACACACTTGGCTGTATTTCCTATTTCTGTGATGATCAACACTACTTGCAACAGTAAGTGGGCCAAAGGGAAGACCATTTTGTAAAAATCTGAACCCTGATTCCTTTCATTGGCTCATTCAACAGGAATCACTTTGTGCTAAAAAATGGACCAAGTCATGGGCACAGTAATTGACACCATCACCTGAATACGCTCCCTTGGCTAGAACCCCAGAGAGGTCGATGCCTGATGAACCAAATGCACAATCCAGGGGTCTGTTGTGCTGCATGGGGCATAAATGGGGGATGAGTGACTTGAGCATGGCATGATGCTGAAGAGATTTTCTTTTACTTTTTTTGAAGAGTTGAAAGATATTGCACTGTTTACGTCATCCAGGAGATTTCCACCTCAGCTCACCAGCAAAGGTTGGATTGAAAGCCTGGACTTTCAGGTTGACTTTATAACCTATTTGAATGCTTTCAGTATTTTTTGGCAGGGCATTCATAAGTGCCTCATAAGTATATAATTTGATTGACTCATTCTAGTTCAAAACTATTCCTTTGGAAGTATCATTTGTCAAGGAATATTCATGCCAATTTTCCTAATGAACTCAGTTTCCACAAATAAAAGTGACGGTGTAAACTACTTTCTCAATATTATAAAAGTTTAATAGTAGATTCCAAAAAAAATCTTGTATTTCAAATGGTATGAAAATGAGAAGGCTTTATTCAGTCCACCTCTGTCAACTAGTCCTGATGGTGTGTAAACACAGAGCTAAGACTAAAAGGGACTGAACTACAACACAATGAACTGTAGCAGAGCTGCCCGAGTGTGGCACGAGGCAGCCTATTAACATTTCTATCTCTCTATCCCTCTCCCTAAAATAAATAAAAACATACTTTTAAAAATATGCACATTTTTTTCTTGTGTTCAGACGTATCTATATGTTGAATAGCTGTTTCCATTATAAAGTTAAAAAAAATAAACATTGCATCCACTTATAGGGCTTAAGTGACATTGCTGCTGCACATTGCAATCTAACATACACATCCTGCCACAGACATCTGTGTATCAGAGTTCTAATTTCATACCAAAAGAGTGATTTATTATAGAAAAAAAAATTATGATTAAATACTGCTATTTTTGAATTCGGAATCTCCAACAGAACACAGAACAATACAACATGTTTATATTTTTACATGCTTAAATATACAGAACATTTGATAGTATCTCTAGAATGTTTTTATACCTGGCACTCTTTACATTAAAGTACTTTATAAACAAAATAACTATTTCAGAAAAGTTAAGTAACTTGCCTCCAAGTGAGCAAAGCTGGTAAACAGGGAATCAAGAAATTGAAAACAGGCCTGTGACTTACAACGATACATACCGAAATGACTCAGATTTAATCATATCAAAGTTGGAGGAAAAAGGGGAAAACTGAAATTAATAACTCAATTTTTATGAAGCCAATGCTTTCTCTAGGTTATAGTAGAGTAAAAATGGACATATGTGGAACAATACTTGGAGGCTAAAGCCTTGTTTACAGATACAGAGAATATTTGTAAACTTTTGTGAAAATATGAAGTGAAGCTTACTCTTGGAGTGGGCGACAAGCTCTGAACAACGAACACCACAGGGTTTCCTGCATTCTTAATAGCCTCCACTGCTTCGCTGTGCGAGGCATTCTGCAAATCGACGCCAGACACCTACAACACAGAAGTCATTTATTTCAATTAGAAATTGTGGTAGATATTGTGGAGAGGTTAATTCAAAGTTCATGTGTATTATATAGTTATGAGAGCTGCCAGAGTCTAATGAATTAGACCAAAGCCAGGAAAAAAATAAGAGTGGCCCCTACAAAGCTTTGCTGTTTTGGAACACATTTACGGAAGTAAGGTTTTTACCTTCAAGAAAAGTAAGACAAATATCTTAATAACAATAGGCCTGGTTAAATGTAATTATTCAAAATGGTAGCTCAGTCAGTAAAAGAACCTTCAGCTTCTGAGCTTATAATGTCACCTCTGTCACTAACAGTACCTAGTTCTGGGTGGGGGTATCAAAAGGAGGGGTCTCTCTGGAATCCTCTGACAATTAAACTGAGAAGAATGATTATTTTAAGCAAATTGTCCATTATCACAATTGAACATTTCTTAAATTATGTTTAAAAAATAAGTGCAAAAATATCCCTAGGTTCTTTTGCTGGAAGTATTTTGGCTCAATAAATTTGGGTAAAATGGCTCCTTATACAAATCTCAGAGAACCTAATTTGAGAACATGCCCATAATCTCCAAGATATTCTGTATTTACCAAACATATCTAACAGAACCAATTTTTCAAACTGATAACATAACAAAACCTTGGTAATTGTTGGGGTGGCTTATGGTCAGTGGATAGTGACAATCTGTGAATGTGGCTTTGCTATAAGGGGACCAAAGGAATAAGGCATGTGGGTAGAGAGGGATGTGGGATCAGGCAAGTTTTTGTATTTAAATGGGAGAGACTACTCCAATAATGATGCATTGGAGTGGAAAAATGAATGACAGAGAGAGAAGCAACCACTGCAGAGGCCAAGCCTTGGACAGCGAAGAAGAAATGACTTCTGCACAAGTTAGAGAGATTGGCTTTAGATAGAAGCACAAATAGTTCATTTGTCATTATAGATATTGTTAGAAAAAAGATCTGGTATGTAGTGGGAGCAGAGGGAAGCTCCCTTTGACTGCTTCTAGTTATGTCAATGACATAAGAAACAAGGACCATAACATAAAGTGAGATTAGAGCTGAGGAGGAGGTACAGGAGGTTTGAAACAGTTATCCATGAAAGCAGGAGAATGAAACAACTGAGGAGATATTACAGGATTGCAGGGCAGAACTAAAGACCCACTTGAGGGGGTGGCCATGAATTTCCACCAGACAGCATGGCAGTTTTTTTCTCTGGTGAGGCTAGAAACCTGAAAGAAGCAAAGTTGCACAAGTTCAGTGAAAGGAAAGGATCAAAGGAGCTAGAAGTGTATGCAAGGGAGTGATTAGGATGATCTATCCTGAATCTGAGCAGAGTAAGGAGAAAAGTGAGCACCCTAGAAGCTGAGGGACAGAGAATTGAGGGCCCGAAGCTAGGAGACAGAATCCCTAGTGTGTTAGAGGGATTTAAAGGCAGGTGAGTCCAAAGAATGGTGAAAGACGGGGAAGAAGAGGGGTGAGGTCAGGGAGGCAGCTGAAGTCACATCATGCAAGGTCCAAAAGGCCATGGTGAGAACTTCAGCTTTTTATTCTCCTAGACATTCACTGGAAGATTTTAATGCTCTGCAAAAACTCTCTTCTCATGTGAGTTGAGGAAGGATATGAGTAAGATTAAATGAGTAAAATACATATAGAAAAAATTTTAAGTGAAGCTTAAAAGCTGTCATAACAGTTTGATGAAGCTTCTTATAAATAACCTAATCCCAAAAGCATTCAACAGTAAGAGAAGTAGAGGCCATATGAGAACTACTTCATCTTCCAGTAATACTCAGCTTTGGTTTTTCCACAGTGTTAAGTGGGAATCACCAAAGTTGGGAAGTCAGGGGAAAAATGGAATGGCTAAAATGAAAATAGTGACAGCACCAAATGTTGGTGAGGATGCATAGAAACTGGATCGCGCAAACACTGTTGGTGGAAATGTAAAATGGTACAGCCATTCTGGAAAACAGTTTGACAGTTCAAGACTAAAAATGAACTTAGCAGACAACCCAGCAATGGCACTCTTGGGCATTTATCCCAGAGAAACAAACACTTTATTTTCACTCAAGAACTTGTATACAAATGTTTATAAGAGCTTTATTCAAACTACCCAAATGCCTTTCAATGGATGAAGGGTTAAACTGTGGTGCCTCTAACCGTGAAACGCTACTCAGCCATAAAGAGGAATGAACCATTGATAGATACAGCAAACTTCAACCAAATTACACTGAGTGGAAAAAAACTAATTTAAAAAAGATACATAATGCACGATTCCATTTATGTGGCAACTGTGAAATAACAAAATTATAGACATAGAGAAACAGATTAGTAGTTGTCAGAGGTTGAGGATGGGGAGAGGAGTGGCTACAGAGGGGTAGTAACACAAGGGAGTCTTGTGGTAATGACACAGTTGAGTTCCTTGATTGTGGTGGTGGCTATGCAAGGCTACACATGTGATTAAACTGTGTAGAGCTATCCACACAAACACACACAAATGAGTGAAATCTGAACAAAGTCAATGAATCGTGACTATACCAGTAGTTTGGTTTTGCTATTGTACTATAGTTGTGTATGCCATTAACATTGGGGGAGGCTGAGGAAAGGGTACACAGAACTTGTACATTTATTTGCAATTTTCTATGAACCTACAATTATTTTAAAATAGAAAGTTAAGGAAAAAAGATAAAACAAAATATAAAATATATATTTAAAAATTAAGCTCAAATGTATCAGTATGAATTAATGCCACTGTTTACTTAGATAAAGATTATCAATTTAGATTTTAAAAAAGCAAAATCCAGTTACATGTTGCTTACAAAAATACAACTAAAACAAAATCACAAATAAGAATGCAAATAAAAGAAAAAAACGGCATCATGCAATTACTAAATAAAAGAAACCACACCTGCTCCAGAAGCCAGAGTATCCTTTTAAAAAGAAACGTCTAAACACTTACAATTCTCTCACGGATTCTCACTGCATTCAGAGCACTCACACTTTAGCTTTCCCATAATCCACATGCTCACTCTCTCACTTCCTGTGCCTGCCCTAACATCACCTACTCTAGCAAATCTATTACAGCCCTGCCTTCGCTACCCTTCATTCCTTACTCCCCCTATTATTTATCTCCATAGCTACTTATTACAACCTAACCTTACACATGTTATTTTGTATACTGTCTATCTCCCTAACTACTGTGTAAATGCCATCAGAGAAGGGATTCTTGGTCATTTTCTTCACTGCCATATCCCCAGTGCATTTAATTTTTCTTTTTTTTAATTTCACAAAGCAAACGTAATATAAAATTTGTGTATACAGAGCATTTAAAAATGTTTTTTTTAATCCTTACCTGAGGATACGTTTATTGATTTTAGAGAGAGAGGAAGGAGGGAGAGTATGATACAGAGAGAGAAACATCAATGAGAGAGAAACATAGATCAGTTGCCTTCTGTATGCACCCCGACTGGGGATCGAACCTCGGAACCTAGGCATGCGCCCTGACTGGGAATTGAGCCCATGACCTTTTTGGTGTACAGGACAACTCCAATCAACTGACTTACCTGGCCAGGGCTATACAGAGCATTTTTATGTAACTCCTTGATTTAATCTCACAATGATACCAAGGGCTTTGAATTCTCATTTCCATTTTATAGGGAAAGTGAGAATACGGTGGGTTTAATATTTGTCCAAGAACAAATAGAAATAAGCAGAAACAGTCTTCAACCCATGACCTCCAGGGCTCTTTTCACTCTATCAGAGCTAAAACACCACAGCTGATAAAGCATAAATCAATAACAAGCAGGTAATGGAGCTAAAGTTATTCAATATAGTGTTATCTAATAATCCAATGCAAAGAAATGTATCAGGGCATTCTCAGTGTCTTGATGTACCCTGAAAACTCTACTCTGCAAGCCTATCGCATGTGAAAGATGGATCCATCCCTCCATCGACTTCCAGGGTCAGCTCTGGGAGGACGGGCATGGCTATCCCACTGACACACATTCTTAAAATTTAGAGCTTGTTAAAGGCTGTGGGAGAAGTATGAATACCCACCATCTGCCTCATTCTGTTAAATCTTGAAATTGCTTAGTCAGTTGAGGCTGTTTGTTTTATTGTTTTATATGTTACCACCCCAACCTAGGGTCTCATACAAGTGTGCAAACAATGTACAAACTAAGACATCTAAATAAAATACACCGATTGTACACACATACACCTGACCACATGAAGAAAGGACTTGTCACTAAATGATTATTTTACTGTTTTATAGTACATTCAAACAAAAACAGAATTTTAACATCATTTACCTCAAGTATTTTATCTCCAGTTTTAAGAGCGTTTGTTTTTCCTGCTGGACTGTCTTCTAAAACTTGTTTGATAAATATTCCTTTAAGCTCCTCTCCATTCTTCAGGCGTTTTATAACGGTTTGTCCACCAACAATACTAATACCAAGAGACACATCAGGTTCTCTAAAAATCTCAACACTGTAAAAAAAAACCACAACAAACAAAATTCACTCATGAAACAAGTTAATTTGTTGGACTGTCACTGTAAGTGTTTAATTTGTACCGTATCCTTGTGACTCATATTTTGTATATTTTCTAAATATATTTTTAGAAATGTTACAGAAATTGTACCTCATTCCAAAATTATAAGATATTATCAATAGTTCATGGCATAGCCCTGGTCAGGTAGCTCAGTTGGTTAGAGCGTCATCCCGATACGCCAAGGTTGCGGGTTTGCTCCCTGGTCAGGGGGCATATAAGGATCAACCCATGGATGCATAAATAAGTGGGAAAACAAATAGATGTTTTCTCTCTCTCAAACTCAATCAATCAATAAAAAAAAATTTAAATAAAAATTCATGGCATATGTGAAAGTGTCAATTCTGAAAAAAGATAGGTATCTAAAACAATAAATACAACTCAATATTGAGAGATTTGGCTAGGCCTTAATGTTCCCATCTTCTACCACAGTATGTTCTCTGTGATTAGTCCTTTCCATCACACCCATAACATTAGCAAAGAATGGATTAAGGAAATAACAAAAGGGTGAAAAACCAAGAAAGTCACATATATAATTTTGGCAAAAAGTGGAGACTTTCGGAATAAAATAAATTTGCCATTGAGAGGCTTGTTGCCCAAGCTGCTTTCCTCAGTCAGCAGGTTTAACCTGTGGCTCTTTAAGTGGAAGACAGATTTTATTTGCTCCTGAGGCAGGATGGTTTTCTTTTCTTCCTACCTCCATGTCATTTGAAAAAACATGTGGAATAAAACTTGCCCCTCAAGCCCTGGCTGGGTGGCTCAGTTGGTTGAAGTGTCGTCCCATACACCGAAAGGTTGTGGGTTCGACTCCCAGTCAGGGCACATACCTACATTGCGGGTTGGATCCCTGATCGATGTTTCTCACAGTGATGTTTCTCTCCTTCTCTCTCCCCGCCTTCCTCCCTCTCTAAAAATCAATAAACATATCCCCGGGTGAGGATTCAAATGAAACAAACCAAAAAAAACCTTGCCCCTCAAAATATTACAAATTTTGCCCCAATGGCAAAATTGTAGCCAATAATTAACGCAAATAAAGTAGCTCAAAAACAGTTCCTAAGAGTTTTTAAGACAAAACTCCGAAGGGCAAGGTAAAAATAGACAGTTTTGGTGGGCCAGTGAAATTAATAATGCATGAAGAATAGGCGGAGCAGCTAAAGGAAGGTTTTGATGATCTTAACCAAGTGCGGCCCTCATGCCTATGTAAAGTTACAAGAGTACCTAAGAGAAGATGGGCCCGACACTTTGTTTGCTCCACAACAGGGGTTGGAGGGAGAGAGAAATTGGTGCGTGACACAGCCCCACCTACTCGTTTATACATAAAGCAGCTTCACTGCGCTCGAGCAGCCCCATCTGCCCCGCTCGGTGAGGCAGTGATCAACTACACCTCGCCCAGAGATGGACATGTGTAAACTGCTTTCTCTGAAAGAGAGTGATAAAGGTTTTCCTAATATTGGTTATCGTCATTTTGCCTGGCTAAAAGTCTCTAGATAAGACAAAATCAAACTAAACTTTGGGCCCATCTACGTGTGAATAGCAATTTCTCAATCATGAGAGAATGACTGAATGCCAATATTAAGTTAAAGAAAAAAGCAGCTGAATGGTGGGGGGAGGAGATATCTGTAATACTTTCAACAATAAAGATATATTTAAAAAGAGAAAAGCAGCTGATTGTATCGTCCTATGGAGAAAGCCAGTGATGCCATCAACCTACATCCTTGGCGGACCCCAGTGGCTGAAGTTCGGAGTTTCTTCTCCTTCACCTTCTTCTCTCTCTGGTAACTCACTGCGGAGGGAGAAAGGGGAAAATACACCATTCATAAGACATAATCTTGTTATTAAAGGTCGTTGGAAAGTTTTGAAATTGCACAATCTATATGTAGTTAAACAGTTCTTAATTTTTAAGCTTTTAAAATATTTACATCAATAGCCAACCCTGCATACAAAGCAAAATACATTGTTGCAACGTTCAACTCAACAAATATTCACCAGGCACCAAAAAATCATAGGAATATTATAAGCATTGTGATTGGTGACACTGTTATTTTTTTTAAAAATGTGTGTATGAATTGTATAATTTCACATTTGTTCCTCTATCAATATATAAAATATTATAAAATATATTCCTTAAAACTTGATATTGATTGACCAGCTAAGAGAACAGTCCAATATAAGCCAACATAAATGGCTGAGCAGTCAGAAAACATGATCCCTCTTTCTAGATTTTTCTGTCCCTCTAAGTAAATTCCCGTCATTTGTATCCCATGAATATTTTGTGTAGTTACACAGCACTTTCCAGTTTATAGGGAGATTTTATCTAATGTGTTCCTCTTCCCACCTACCACCACCATACTTTCGCCCATCAAATTATTTTGGTATGAAACTGCTTACTTAGATAACAAAATAATGAATTAGAGAGTAATTATATAAGTGGTGCTATCTAATAGGGTAGAGACATTACCACATATTATCTGGCAGAGGAGTCAGGAGTCCTAAGCTCCACTCTAGCCTGTGCCACAAAATAACCTGTGTGACTTTGGACCACCCAATGAAATAATATGTCTGATACTGTAAACTGTATTACTCTATATAAAAATGTAGGCACTACAGCTTTCATTTCATTTTCACAAAAACCCCGTGAAGTAAGCACAGCAGGTCATATTTTATATTTTCCACATGAGGAACTGAGCTCAGAGAAGGTTCATTCTACACAACCTCTTCCAAATCTTTCTTTCCGCAATAAGTTTCAATACTCTATTATTCTCTGAACCCTCAACTAAGTCCTGTAAAAAGTAGCAAAACTCCACCTCCTTGCCACTCTCCAGACTTCCTGGGATATAATGGTTTAAGGCTGAGTGTAACAGAGAAAGTTGAAAGGACCTAGACATTCCAAAAATCCATTAAGACATTGGGATCGTTCGGGATCATTAACATCTCACCCACTACCAGATGGCCTTCTTGCCTTAGCCAGCCTACTTTTTTATGATTAAAGCATCATAGCATCCAGGGAAAAACAGCCTGGCAGATATTTGCTGGGCACTTATCTAATGTCCTCTCTCCCATTCTCCCTGACCAACAGAACTCCTCTGTTATTCCAGGGGGGCACTATGCCCAGCTCTAAAAACATTCATTTCTGGACTTCCTTTCAGCTAATGGTAATTGTGTGCCATAGTTTGATTACTGATATGGAAGCAAAGGTCCCTGGATGAGATTTCCAGGAAAACTCATTAAAATGGAGGGAGAATCAGTTGGCAGGAGCCTTTCGCTCTGTGCCCTTCCCTTCTCCTTGCCCAGAAGGCAGAGATAATATTGGTGGTGAGGCACCCATCCTAAAATCATAAAGAAACAAAGAGAAGCCACCCATTAAGGGCAGCAGAGAAAGAAGAACATGTTTAAGACCCTGATGGACCACTTTCTTCAGGACTTTTTATATAATAAAAATCAAGGCCCTGTTTGGTTAAGCCAACGCTAAGTTGGGGGGTTCTGTTTAGGAGCCTCTGAATGCAGTCCTTAAGTGACACTTCCATAATTTTACCAATTTAAGTGAAGTGTTCACTTTATCATAGCCCATTTTTACTCACTGGATAGTTGTAATCATCACATAAACTTTCAAATTTTCATTATCCTATGTAATAGTAACAAGGATTAAATGAGATAAAACTGGCATTTAACTGAAGTTCAACCAATATTCATTTCCATTGCAATCATTTCACTTTTTGTAGCAAAACTTCCCCCACATATTATTATAATGTTCATAATTTTTTATTTAATAGCATCTTCATAGTCTGTGGTATTGATGTAATTTAATTTACCTACTATCCCAAATATGAGGCACTTGTATTATATCCTCTTTTCTGGAATATGGATATTACTGCAAGGAGTATCTTCATGCTCTGTTGTATTTTAGAATTTCCTTTTAGTTTTAATTTATTTATTATTTTAAAATATATCTTTATTGATTTCAGAGAGAGGAAAGGAGAAGAGGAGAGAGAGACAGAAATATCAATGATGAGAAAAGCACTGATCAGCTGCCTCCTGCATGCCCCCTACTGGGGATTGAGGCCGCAACCCGGGCATGTGCCCTAACCAGGAATTGAACCTCAATCTCCTGGATCATAGGTTGATGCTCAATGGCTGAGCCACGCCGGCCAGGCTAGAATTTCCTTTTAAATAAATATCAAAGTAAAGTTGAAAATTAAAAACCAAACCAACACTGAAACTTTCCTCCTCTTCGTTTTCCACTTTCTTGTACCCCAAATTGTGACAGGTGTGATAATAATAAATAGTTGGTGTTTGTCCTGGTTCGCGACATAGAGCTTCGAAAACCCTTGGAATTTCCTGAGTGATATGGGAGATAGGAGCACCTTTTGTTATTAATAACAAGCTCCTTTCAACCAGAACCGAGTTTATGCTAATAAGGTGATTTCTGGTAGGACCCTAGATAGTTTCAGGATGGATGCGGCTGCCAGGGAAACTGATTAGAGTTAGATCTTTCAGCCCTACCTCTGGGATAGGGAGAGGGGCTAGAGAATGAGTTCATGCACCAATGGCTAATGCTGTAAACAATCCTACCTACATCATGGAATCTCCATAAAAAACCTAAAAGTCAGGGTTCAGAGAGCCTCCAGGTTGAAGAATACATCAAGGTGCAGCGAGGGTGATGTACTGAGAAAACACAGAAGCTCTGTGCATTCCCCACACCTCTCCTCAGTATCTTGCCCCATGCCTCTTTTCCTTTGGCCTCTCTTGAGTTGTATCCTTTATAATAAACCAGTAATAGTAAGTAAAGTGCTTTCTTGAGTTCTGTGAGCCATCCCCACAAACCTGAGGAAGGGGGTCCTGGGAATACCCATTTTCAAGCTGGTTGGTCAGAAGAACAGCTAGTAACAGGCATCTGAAGTCAGAGCAGCCACGTAGGGTTGAACCTTTATGTTGTGGGGTCTGCACTAACTCCAAGTAGTTATTGTCAGAGAAAATTGGTTGTGTGAAGGAAAAAACTCACACATTTGGTGTCAGAAGTGTTGTGAGCAAAAACAGTTCATAATAGGCATTAAAAAAAAAAGCCACATACATATTTTATTATGGCACAAATATATTATCAAAATAGGAATTAAATTCTTCAATTAAAAAAAAATAGAATGGAGACCAAGCTTTAATATTAGTAAGCTATTAGTTTTTCTATAAAAAAAATAAAAACCAAAAATATCCTAAACTGCTAGCTTTCACAAATTAAGAGAAGGGGCTGGTGAGGGGAGGACACTATCCAGAATGTGGATAAATTGTGTAGCAAAAAGATTATTTTTGAAAGAAACTCATTGACTTTTTCAAAGCATAATATCTTTCTCCAGGAAGTTGGTTTGCACACATTTTAATCACATTATTTTATATCTAAAGAGAGATAAAACTTGGAAAAGTTTATCCAGATAGTGTGACTAGTTCTGGAAATACAGTAACAGGAGACGAGAAACCATACCAACTAATGTAGTCACTTTACATTGATGAAGGCATATATACCTTTTAACCCCAAATAAAATTTAACTGAGAAAGTAAAATATTTTATTGCACATATTAAGATATAAATTTTCACAAACATATTTAAAACTTTAACGAGGAATTTCTAACCTCAAATTTTATAATTTGCACTGTAATTAAACATGGTCAATAGCTCAATCAGTTAAAGTTTCAAATTTTAAAATAATTGAAATTTACCTCTTACATTAACCAGTTTTCCCCCAAGGGAATTAACAGTCCAATAAAAACAATGCTTTTTATTTCTGACCTTTTTATAAATGCCCAAAGTTATCATTCTTTACAGATTTGGGAGGAAAGATGGAGAGGCTCATTAGTGAACAGGTGGGTGTTAATAGTAAGACTTGATCATGATATATAATCCCTTTACAGATAAAACAGTCAACATTATACAAAAGTCAGGCAGATCCAGATAGCCAAGGTGACCTTTCCTTTTCAATATACCTTTTTTTTCCATATAAAATTTCTATATACTAAGCCATATGAGGGTCAAGTAAACTCAGCACCCTAAAAGGATGTAAGCAGGAAGAGTTCTGATTGTGACTAAGCTATCTAAAGATTTCTTTTGCCTCTTTAAACATAGATGTTATATGGCAATTTGCTATGACACGCCATAGGGACTATTGAGCATTTGGAACCAGGGAGAATGGGGACTGGTGTTTTCCAAACTAGTTAGTTTACTCATACAGATGTTACACTGATTTTGAGGGTATTACTTAACACCAGTATACATAAAGAATCAGGCATTCCTCATGTGGAAGTTTAGGATGACACCAACACGGTGCTGAGTGAAAAGAAGCCAGACGCAAAAAAAGTCCTCCTGCATCATTCTACTTACATACGTTCTAGAACAAAAAAAATCATTTACAGTGTAAGAAGTCACATGAGTAGTTGCCTGTAGCAAGACACTGCCATGGGGCAAGGGTGAACTTTCTTGGGTGATGGAATGTTCAGTATCTTGATCGGACTATGGGTAATATGAATCTACATATTGATCAAAATTAAGGAAACTGTCCCTCAAAAATCTGTGCATTTTATTAATATGTAAATTGTGTTTAAGAGTTTTGTTAAGAAACAAAAGCTCAAGCCAGAAAGGGTAACTTGCTTCCTTAAGTCAACTTTATGTCTCTTTTGGCCTTGTGTAGAGCCCCGATTAGTAATCAAAGATCTAATTATAGTCGCAAAGGCATTAGTGTAATAGTCCTATGTACCTCCTGCCCTAATTTTTCACATCTGTGTTCACCTGCAGTGTGGATAACAGAATGATACTGGAAACCTCCCCTTTCTCCTCCCAACTCAAACATTCCAGAGTAGTCCTCTCTCAAATACACACACTTCTTTTCCTCAGCCTCCTACCAATGTCCTGAATTTACACATAATTGTTGGCAGTTTATCTCAAAGGTAAACCTATGAAACCAACATTTATTTAGAAGGCACTAAGTGCCAGGCATGATATTGGGGGCTCATAATATAACAACTCATTCAATCCTTTCCCCCACTCTGGCACCCTGCCTCCTGTTCTACCTCCCCTACTCATAACAAAGTATGTAATATATGAACATATTTCTTTTCATTTGTATCCTACTATACCAACAACATGATTTCTTGTCAATTTTAAATGTCTTTCATCTCAATTTCATCATCCTCCCAAGGCTTAACCTCTGACACCTTGTTTTCCTTACTGTGAGTTGATCCTATTTTATTATAAAACAAACAAACCAACCCTACATCTCCTTGAGTGTCTAAAAAAACCTCAACAACAATGAATACTACCCTAGATAAACCTCAGGGCCCATGAGCCTATCACCGTAATCTAGCATCATTGCTGACCTTTCATTACACATTTACTATGTTCAAGGCATTATGTGAAGCTCTTCATACTGACTTTTATTTAACCCGTAGAACTACCTACTTTATCAGTGAGGAAATACAGACACAAGGGAAACCTTCTCAGGTCATGTCGCTGTAAATAAGAGAGAAAAAATCTGCACAGCACCCACAATATATCTATATTGCAGATCTGCTATTAGTCTGAGAAATGTGTTTGTCCCCCTTTGTAGGCACCCATACGTCTTCAGGCAGCAGGTGATGACAAAGATGAGTTAGAAAAAGACTGAAGCCAGGTGAGTTCTGAAGACATGATCTCAAGTGACCTTATGAAGAAAGAAGGATACTCAGAATAAAATCAGATTCCTTCCAGAGCCATCACAGCCGGCCTGACCACAGGTCTACTTGCAGAGAGCCCACTCTGAAGGTAAGTCTGGCCTCTTAGTACTCGTTCCTGCCTCCAAACGTAAGGAGAAGTTGGCTTAATGCAAAAACACAACGCACATAAATAAATCTGCAGAATCCTACACTAAAATTAACGCAAAGAACAAACTCTAAGATACTATTTAGTACTTCATGACACCCTGATAATCCGAAAGACTGTCTTCCACAAGAATCTATGCATTACTCAGGAAGGCTCCTGAGTGGCAATAAGTATTCACCGATGACCCTAACTCCATGGGGCATCCTCTAAAAGACTGAGAGGGGGACTATGACTTACAGGAACTCCTCTGGAATCCGCTGAGATTTAAATGTGTTCTGAACCTATGAGAGCAAGACAAAGACACAACTTCCAAATGCAAGGGGGATCTCCCAAGACGAAGACAGATTGGAGCCTGTAAATACCTGTGCCTGCATAAGAAATTGGCTTGTTGCAGTCATTTTAGGAGAAAAATTAATGGAACAGGAATAAAGCCTATCTTCCCTCTCAGAAGCTGGGCGGACAGAGTAAGCTACAACTGATCTTCCATTTTGCCTTTTGTGTGAGGAAGGAGCGGTGGGCTGGGAGATTTGTGTAGACCTTTACAGTTAATGGTTCTATAGCTTTAGAGAAGTAGCCCCATTTCTGAATTCTTCAGCCAGAATCAATGATTAACACTAAGCACAAGGGAAATTTAAAAGACAAAAGTGTCTTGTTTAAAAAGTCATTTGCCACATAAAAAGTCTTAACGTATATTCTTAACCCTTCCAGTACTGCCACTCCTAGGTATCTCTTAAAGAAACAAACGCATTGCTTGTTTAACACTGAGTTCCTCCAGGAGCTGGTTAGGACACTGGGACATCGGGCCTGTCAGAACTTCCCCTCTGCACACTGGTCCAGTTCTGCTGTGTGAAAAGCCACCAGGTTCTCCAAGTAGTTGAGCCTGTCTGTCTTTCCTTCCCACTCAGAGACGAGCTACACAGAAGCGCAAAGAACAGCCTTTCATGAAGTTGCTATCTAAAACTCTAGGCAAAGGTCACAGGTTGCTGAACAGAGACAATATTACTGTGTTAACAGATGATATCAAATCATTCTCAAATTAAGGTTATAATAAAAACATTAGGGCCAATTAATCCCATCCTATCGCTCATCCCTGTTATGCTTTGCCAATACCTCCAACTCCTCTGTTTACTCCTCTCCTGTCACAGTGCTACGCTGCTCTGTTTTCTCCATATATTGCTCCGGTTCCCATCCCTCACCCCGAACGCCTCCCCAGCCAAACTACCCATCACTCTGTGGCATCTCCTTGAACTGTAAAGAAACCACTCCATGCCTTAACCTCTTCACTGAATGTTCTCGGTACCTTCTCTGCCCTCTCAGCAGCTGCTGGTTCTCTGCCACGAGTGGGTAACGCTCAGTCTCTCCCTCTCTCGGAAATTGGAAAGAAGGGACCAATCTTTTCCTAAACTCCCTTCCACCACCAAGCCATTACTCCCCTACCTTGTTTCAAAAACTAATCTCTACTCTGACACCTCTCCTTTTAATGCCCACTCTACTAGCACCCCAACATTCTTAGAAGATAGCCTTTTCCCTAAATGACAGAGGAAAACCCAAGGCCACTGGGCCAGAATCACTTTGGATTCCTGCCCCCAAGGTACAAAGAGTAGCTGCACCTGTACTTTCCTTTCATTCCTGGCATCTGTCTCTGTGGAGGAGGTGAACTTCCTCATATCAAACTATCAAAGGTTCATCTCTAGGTATGCCTTGTCCTCTCGCTTCTCCCTCTATAAGAACTACGTTTAATCACCCCTTCCTAGAATCTACATATTCCTTTCCTGCATCTTTTCCAGAAAGACAGAGACATACACATACACATTCTCTTTCTTTCTCTTTCTCTCTCTTGCTCTCACTATCTTTCTCCATCTAGCTATCTATTATCTATCTATCTATCTATCTATCTATCTATCTATCTATCTATCTATCTATCTATCATCTATCTCATCTACCTATCAATCATCCATCTATCTATCTACCTACCTACCTACCTATCTATCTATCTCATCTATCAATCATCTATCTATCTATCTAGCTAGCTAGCTAGCTATCTAGCTATCATGTATCTATCTATCATCTATCTATCATCTATCTATCTGTCTATCTATCTATCTATCATCTATCATCTATCATCATCTATCTAATCTGTTTATATCATGCATCCAATTTCAGACCTTCGGTTCAATTCTCAACCTACTACCCACTCTGACAAGGCCCATGAAAATATTTCTGTCTTATCTACCTTGACTTCCCTGTAGCATGTGACCACAGTCTGTGATGATCCTTTTGTTAAAACACACTCTTCCCTTCGTTTTTAGGTCAACCTCTGGTTCATCAATTTCCTTCTTTCTATCTTTTGTTCATTCCACTTCCCTATTTTCTTCCTCCATTCACACCTTTAATATTGCTGCTCTGCAGGACTCCCATTTTGACCCTATGCTCTTATTACTTGAGCTTCACCTGAATGACTATGCAAATCCAGGAGTCTTATCTACACTAGCTTGATCTTGTTCCCAATGATCCTTGTCAGGATAGACCTCACCATTAATACCAAGAATCAGGGATCTAACTGACTCCACTTCACTTTGTCATCCTATGGATATACTTAAACCCCCAACATGTCTCAAATTGAACTCATTATTTACTCTTCTGACCTGTTTATACTTCTACAATCTTATGTCAAAGAACTAACAGTCCCACTATCCATTTGGTTTACCATTCCAGAAATACAAGTCATCCTCAACTATTCCCTCTCTCTTCCAACATGTTATCAGTTACCAATTCCTATAGGTTGTCTTGCTCTTAAATTCATTCCCTCATTTGTCTGAGTACTTGCTTGAGATGTTAACATAAATTGTTAACTTCCCATTTTCTAAGCAAATACTCTATGTGATCCATTTTGCACCCAACTGCAAGATTACAAAATTGTATACACAGTAAAATTTTATGCATGTGAAATTCTTATACTAATTGCCTAATATAGTGGATTTTATTCACAATATTTTTCTGTATTTTCTAAATGTGTACATATCATGCCTGTTTTTATTTTTTTTTAATAGAAGCAAAAAGAAAACTATTTTATAATGTAAAAGCAAAAAGGAAATGAAACCCTACTATGCATCAGTGGCGTATCTAGAAGACAACACGCCTGTGCATGCTGAGGTCTTGGAAACACCTGGGGTCCTGGGGAGTTGGTATAAGGGCAGATCATCTTGCTGCCTTCTCTGAGCCACAGCAGGATGTTCAACAAGCAAGCCAGGACCGTGGACATCACTGGGAATCATCATGCCTGAAGAGTAAACCAAAAAGACAGTGAACACAAAATGCTTTCACTCATCCTTCCTTCATTCAACAAATAGTTATGAGCATCTACTATGGGCCAGCCCCGTCCAGGTAGAAGATTTACTTATATTAAACTAAATAAGTAAACTATTTAACACATCAGATGATGACAAGGACTATGGTGAAAAATGAAGCCAGGGCCCTAGCCATTGTGGCTCAGTTGGTTTGGAGCATCCTCCCATACACTGAGGGGTGGCAGCTCAATTCCTGGTCAGGGCACATACCCAGGTTTCGGGCTCGATCCCCAGTCAAGGTGCATACGGGAGGCAACGGATGGATGTTTCTCTCACATCCATGTTTGTCTCTCTTTCTTTTTCTTTCTCTCTCTCTCTCTTCCTTCCTCTCTCTAAAATCAATGGAAAACATATCCTCAGATGAGGATTTTATAGTGTCCGGGGGAAAAAAAAAAATAAGCAGCAAGGAAGTAGGGATAGGGATTGCTTACTAGAGGGAAGTTACAATTTTGAGTATGGTCTCATTAAAAAGATGATGACATTTTAGCAATATAAACATTTTATCAGAAGAATTCCCTTTATGATAGCATTCTAATCTTACCACAAATTTTCCTTTATTAACTGTGGCTGTCTCAATTACAGGCACTCCAACATTTCACTGACTTAAAAAAAAAATTCCAAGGAATAGCAAATAACCACATAAAAACACTTACATTTTTAAAAGGGCTTTGTTTATAAATTCCAGAATTCTTTTACAGTTGTTACCTTATTTCCCACATCAAACTATGAGAGAGAAAACATGCTAGCAAATGTATTTTATAGATGAGGGAAACAGTCTAAGGAATAGTGTAAAGAATTTGGCCACTAGAATGTGCAAATTCATCTGACAAAGCATCTCTGCCACTTTCCCACTTACTGAGAAAAGAATAACGAAGGCAGAACCATGCAGAGTCCTACGGCACAGAGTCCTATGGCACAGAGGAGTCTTACGGCACAGAGTCCTACGGCACACGCTTAGGGGCCTGCGCTATGCAGGCACAAATCCATCGTCACTCTCAGGATACACCCGGTGTCAGTTTCATCCAGCCCATTATAAATTCCCAGCCAATCCTTCTTTATCATGCTATACAAATACGATGAACTGTGTATCAAATGCCTCCCTTAAGTCCACACGTTTATAGTATATTGTGGAGGAAATTAGAAATGACTTCTAATAAATATATACTCTTCTAAAGCCTTTCCTATAAGCACCACTTAAACTCTCCATTTCTTCATACTGAATAAATTTTCTAGTAAACTCACTAAGAGTTCTGCTTTTTATCTTGTCTAGAAACTTCAGAATCCGGATCTAATCAGTTGATATTGCAATAGAGAATCTGATAAGGGGATGAAAATAACTGTAGTTCTTAGGTGACGTAAAAGGAAGTCTCAGTTGCCTTTCCTCAACTCCGTGAACCTTCCATCCCATCCACTGGGGCCCACATTCCTGCAAAGCAGCCATATCTGTACCCCTGCCCCACAGTTCCAGCTCTGCTTATGCCTGCCTCCTCCCCACTGAGGAGGGACCGGGGCAGGAACAAGATTCTGGGAGGAATGGCCTAAAACCAGAGTCTTAAGAATAGAAAACCAGCTGTATTTGCAGAGCTACTTCCCACCCAGCTATGCTGGTGAAAGCAGCCTGTTGAATTATATAGCAGTGGGTTTCACAGGTTGCTGCAATTTGTTTAAAACTTTGTGTTACCTGCCCCACACAAAGACTGCCCATGTACTTTGCCCCACTCCCCCTCCACAGGCCTTAGCAGTGCTTAGGCGTGCACTTTCATCTCTCACAGTGCTTGACACAGTTTCACTGCACAGAGCCATTCACCAAGTGCACACAGTACCCAGGAGCCCCTAAAACAAACCAAGTCCTCACAGCACCTGCACAGTTGTTAGGTAATGGCCATAACAGGAGCACAAAGGCTAGAAAAACAGAGAACGTACAAAAAGATAGTTCTGGGTAAATGGAACTTAATGCTTACAGAAGAGGAATGGGAAACATTTTTGAAAAGCTTATACTTGGTGGGGTACAAGAATCCAATGGTCAACAAAACAAAGGCAATGAGAATCCAAGTGGAGAGGAGATTGAGGGGAGGTTAACGTGTTGTTAAATAACATGAGCGGCATGTCACTTTCTCATTTGGCAAATATTTCTTGAGCATCTACTATGGCAACATAGTCAGAGATAAGCCCTGCCCTCCAGAAGCCTGGTCTATTGTACGAGACTGGCATGCAATTAAGTATGTATGCCCGACTCGTGGGTGAAACGACAGAAATTCATCCAGGGTTCCCTGGAGACACACGCCCGGTAGAGGTAGTCAAAGGTTGGCGAAAAAATGACTTTCTCTCTGAAATCTAGTAACACTAAATGTATTACTGATTTAAAATTTATCTTGTATGCTCTCCGGCATTCATTACACTAATGTGTAGGTTTAGTTTCATAGCCCATGAGGAGTATTGGCCCTTGGAGGACACATAATTTTAGATAAAGTATAGGGTCATGAATAGCCCTTTACACATAGTTTCTACAAAAATAATTTTTAAATTAATTGCTCATAGATAAATCTAAAATTGTCTGTGACTAATAAAGTGGTTAAAGAGCTAGAGGCTTGAAAGAGGCTTTAGAGAACACTTAGCCCAAATCCTTCATTCTGCAGTTGATGAAATGGAGAGGCTTAGAGAGGCTGAAGGCCTGCCTCGGTAACTCAGCAGGTTAACTACGTACTACTAAGGGTTCTGGGACTGAAACAGTCTGCCATATGCTGGACAGGGCTCTCGAGAACAAAATAAAACTTTGAGCAGAATTAACTCAATATGTATGCTGCTGAAATCTGTATTGACTCGGCATCAGTAATTTCTCAGCCCACTCATAGTTGGCACTAAAGCAAACACTCATGCCTGCCACGTAGCATTCCGGAGGCTCTCAAAATTTTTCCTAAAAGCATGTGGTTATGAATGCTTTTCTAGTGAGGACAGGTCTAAGACAGCTTCATTCCTTAAGCTATAATCTCTGAAAATAAATTATTTCCAGAGGCTTGCAAAGTATTAGATTAATGCAGTGTAGTAGGCTGAATGGTGGACCCCCTAAAAGATATATCCATGCCACAGGACCTATGACTGTGACTTTATTTGGGGGAAGCTGGGAAGCCTTTGCAGATGTCATTAAGTATCTTGAGATGAGATCATCCTGGACTACCCGAGTGGGCCCTAAATCCAATGATAGGTATCCATATAAGAAACAGAAGAGAAGACATGGGCAGGAAGACGAGAAGGCCATGTGAAGATGGATGGTGTGATACAGACACAAGCCAAAGAATGCTGGAGACACCGCAAGCTGGAAGAGGCAGAGAACAGATTCTTCCCTGGAGCCTTCCAAGGGAGCACTGCACCCTGATTTAGGACTTCTGGCCTCCAATATCCTTAGTGAGTTTTGGTGAAAAAAGTCATTTTTTTCCTAGTCACCATCACTTATACATCATGAAAAACTGGTTAGACTCATCTAATTTTAGATATTTAAAATTAACTGTTGAATCACAGGGAATTGGTAACTGTTATCTCATTAAGAGTTCCATTCTTTCTCTTTCTTTTCTCACTCTCTAAAAAAAGAATGCCATTCTTTGGATTTTACTTAACAGAATGCTGAATTCACATAAAACTGTTGAATAATTTTCTGTTGTTCTTCCTCCCCCCCACTTACAACATATTACCATACAACACAAGAATTTCCCACAAAGACTTTTCCTATAAGTAGAGTCATAACAGGTGAAGGATAGCATAAATCCCGAACAGTGGCTCTATAAATCCCAGTGCTAGGAAAGAATTTAACAGTTTCATCTAGGGATCCTAATATTATAACATTTGATATTTTGGTGTTGGATGAAAAAAATTATTTTTTTCAAGTCAAGTTTTCAAAATTATATAAGAATCAATACTGGGGGGAGGCACGATACTTTCGGGATTCTTTAATGGAAACTAAGTTATTAATGCACCAAAATTGACTGTAATATATGGCTATAAAAATGTTTCATAAATGTTTAAAATATGCCTCTCTTTATTAATATTTAACAACCCCATTCAGGCAGCTAACAGTATCACTTAATAGCATCAAAGATTTTAATATATATTAGTAGAGACTTATTTCAGATTCAGCCTAAGGTACTAGTTTTAGTTTTAATCCATGCTGACAATAAAAAGCAAAACAAGGCAGAGAAAACTCAGCCCTCTCAGAAAACAGAATCTGAAAATTCTAAGTTGAAATACGAACCATGTTATTCTTCCAGATACTTGGGAGCAGATTATCTAATAAGCAGATTTAAATCCAAAACACCATAATGAATGAAATGCGACTGTAAAATTTATCACATACAAAAAAAACCCAGAAAGACTGCAAAGTAATGTAATTTGTGTTGATGAGAAACAAAAACCACAAACCTAACTCCAGACCGCTGTTTGTTAATGAATTAAGATTTTCCAGATCATCGAATCTGCCCTGTTGACTATTTCCTTCAGTTGAAGATATGGAGGGCTGGGAATCGATGCCAAAATTTTCTTTCATCTTGAGAGGAAGGAAAACAGAAATGCATTAGTACTTTATGATGAAATGTAGAACACTATAATGTTGTTTAAACGGACAATAATGATAGTGGAAAACTGGCCCTGAAAACAGGTCTTCTCAAGTAACGGTTTATACTGTAGGAAGCAGTAACGAACGCTGGTAACTTAGTATTTGCAAGAACACAGGCTTGTAAAACTTGCTTTTCCCAAACACTGGATTTTTTAAACAACAAATCTGTTTTTCTAAACATTAATAAGTGGGTTTTAATAAACTTAATTCACCATGGTAGAGGAATAAAAGATCTACAGAGTCAAACGAGGTCAATGGTTGACTCCCTACCTCCTGATCATGCTGCTACCTAAATAGCTGATCCCAAAACCGGTGAATTTTCATAGCTCTAAGCCTGTGCTACACCCTCCTTGGCACTCTTATCTGCATAGTGAACACTCAGTTAACCAAACCTAAAACCAAAGATAAGCACAGTCAATAACTTCTCACACTTTCATCTTTGTTCCTCTCTTACTCGACTTTCATGGTTTCCCAGTTACAATCTTCCAGGACGTACAATTTTTACTGAAGTATTTTATTATGATATTTAAAAACTTACATAAGCTTAAAATTAAATGACAACATTATGGCCACCACCAGGTGATTACGTGCCACCCATTCCCATATGGAGGTATTATTCACATAGTCCCAAAACATCTGTTCTCCGGTAGCCTCTATTATGAGGAATCCTCTGGGTTCCACAGATACATCCAGTACAGTGCCTTGCACAGCAGAAGGACCCACACCATTGGCTGTAGGGAAAAGGGGAGGAATGGTCTAAGGGAAACAAAGAAAAAAGCCAGCTCTATCCGCCCGGGGAGAGAGCACATGAAAACACGCTTTACACAGCACTGCAGGGAAGTTGCTAACCTCGGCGAGGGAGCACCATACCGGTAGCACCTGAACATGCTGCTGTGTATCCCTGCCCAATAAATTTCTTTCCATTTGCCTGGAATTTAATTGAGGGCAGGAAATAAACAAAAATAAGACACCAAAAAAAGTCCCTAATGAAAGATTCTAATTGGTGACCAGTTAACTCTAATTTTATAAAAAATAAAGTTTATTGGTGATTTAATAGCAAGGGCAAACCTATTAAAATATAATGCTTTCCTGCCAAGTTCTAAAATAGGCAGTATCACAAATGTAAAGATAATTTTCCAGAGTTCAGTGACTTTCTATTTAGTACCATACATAATACAGAGAACACGGCGGTTAAGCAAGATATAAACAACAATGTATCTTTAATCGATTTGCCTTGATTTTCCTTGACAAATACACTATGTGAGAAATACTGAGCTGTATCTCCCTGAGGGAATGAAAAGAAGAAATCACAAATGGCTAGAGACCTCTTCCCTGAAATGGGTAATTAGGAGAAAAACATCACTAAAAAAGGCAAAGCAAACAACAACAACAACAAAGGCACTATAAAGCACGGCTACTGGAGCTTACTGACTGCAACTAAAAGTTGTGTAACCCAGAAGAGATGAGCTTTTACTTACAGCAACACACTGTGTGGTACATCTCGGAAAAAATGATTAATCATAAAACTATCCATTCAATTTTGTTTTCTGGAAAGTTGCACGGCTTAGGGACTGGGATAGGAAGGGGAGGAGACAGGGAAGGTGTGGAAGATCCATTCTAAAACATCCCTTACCACGTCTTCAGTGCCATAGCCATACTGCTGTGTCTCCTGGGAATATACACTCATCATGGGTCTTGCTTCCTGAGGCTCAGGCGGTTCGCTCTCACGCACCCACTGTGTACCAAAGTGGAGCTCCTTCATGGGCAGAGCAGGAGTGGGAGCGGCCTCCTGAGTGTGCGCAGAGGGGTACAAGTCCATGGATGGAAAGCAATCCTGATACAGCTCGTATTCTTCATCAACAAGCATTTCTCTCTCTTCACCCATTTCCTGCAACCCAGGAGTCAGAAATTCATGCATTTCCCAGGCCTCCTTGCTGTGGTCTATCTCTTTTTGCTGGGACTGGAAAGACTTGCCCAAATTTAGAAATGGTTCGTCCACAAGTTCTTCTTTATAATAGGGTTCATCTCTAAATTCCTGGGGGGGGGGAAAAGTTGCAAAAAATTTTTAACTACACCTGTCTTAAAGCTGGAAAAGGAACCCCTGCAGTAGCTGCCGTGACTTTGTTACATGCCAACGCATGGTTCACACGAACAGCTCTCCTTTACAAACGAGAATACAAGCTCACTACCACGCAGCTCTCAACCCAGGAAAGGGGCAAACAATAAAACCAGAGGCAGAAATCTGCCCTTGGCAAGGTGAATGGCTAGTCTAAAAGGCTCGTTACACATTAACCACCTGAAAGTTCTCAGTCCGAAATAGGAATTTTGTTAAACTGCTACACTGAATATTTAACTCGGGGATCTCATATAGAAAGTAGTACATAAATACAGACCCACTTCATACTATTACTTACAAGAGCAAAAACTTAAAAGGTCAGGATTTTGAAGCTTATGTAACAAAAGAAATCAGACTATTTGGAAAGAAACATTCTATATAAACTAAAGATATGGGGAGTATGTCTCAACTACTTTGAGTATGATTCTTTGATAATATAGCATAAATAGATTTTTTTCATCTGCATTGAAAATATATGACAAAAAGGAATAAATACAGTATGTTTTTATTAATTTATATTTCACTAATCAGAAGAACAAGTACATACGATGAAGTTAAATAGTCAGAGATGTGCAGGGACACTGATGAGCTCCTAGGTAATGCTATGGATATGCTGAGTTTTGAATGAACTCTTAGCGGTGTCTCAATGCTGATCACAGTGAGGCCCCATTTCTTCTAAGGGATCAGTGGCAATTCCTATTTTAAGTTCTATTTATTAAGTATTACTAACTGTAAATTCCTGAAATGCATCTATTCTTTCCCATTACTTCCTCACTTGCAGCTAGACATCACTGTGGTATAACTTTTAAATTAGTACAATATACCAAATACCACAACCTAGTTGTTTGTTTGTTTTTTCAAGTTGTGTTTAGAGGGCATATTTGAACATGTCATGTGGTTATGAAATTTTAACCAATAAAAGTCTACACTAAAAAAATATACTGGACTATGTATCAGTTTGAGACACTGTCAACAAATTATGTAAAGAATGTCAAAAGAGCTGTTACCAAGTAAAGCAAAACCATACTCTAACTGCAAAGAGCAAAATAAGCACAGTTCATTTTAAAAATAAAAAAGGAAAAGCTTTAAAATAATAGTTTCTAAAATTGAAGCAAAAATAGGGTTGCACTAAATAACATTTTTTAGAAAGTATTCAATAAAAAGTTCTTTAGTATAGCCATTTTTTACAACATTTTAAATGCAGGTCTATTTTCAAAAATATGTTCCACCCGCAAAATTTTAAGAATATATTAGTATAAAAGAAAGTATGTTTGTTCCTTGAAAATTACTTACACAGGCCTATGTGATTTATGGTGGCAATGTTATACAAGAGGGAAAAGATTTCAGTTTAAAAAAATAATAATAGAGAGGGGATTATTTAAATTGTATATATTTAGCTAAGGGAATGGAAACAAGCTTTGTCTTCTTTATAAAAGCTTTAGCTCACAGGAAGCCATTCAAATGGGAAATAAATTTACTAAATACCTTGGGTGCTTCAAGTATTAAAGATGAATTTATATCATGAATTGCTCCTGAAATTTCAGTCTTGTCTTCATTAGTGTTTGAATGTAACCTATAATGACTTTCTTCCTCTTTATCATCTTCCTGAAAATAGAAACATTTTTATTTTTTACTTTTTTGCACAACTGAAGAAATGTTTTTGTCAACCACGAAGCTGGTTATTTTGTACTGAGATATAATTGACATATAATGCTATATTAGTTTTAGGCATATAATGACTTGATATAGGTATGTATATATTGTGAAATGATTACCACAATAAATTTAGTCAACATCCGCAACTTTCAAATATACAATACAGTATTGTTAACTATGGTCACCATGCCTTATGTTACATCCTCAGGACTTATTTATCTTATAACTGAAAGTTTGGACCTTTCAACCACCTTCACTAATTCCTCCCCCATCCCA